TGCCTGGCTGATGAAATACATCCTCAGAATGACTTGAGTGCCTAACCTTTGAGGTGAGGTCAAGGGCATTGATAGGGAAATGCACGCACGCACTTGTAGTCGTTTCAGATGCGATCAAAAAGCCTTTTTTCAAAGCTATGAGACTACATATGAAGAAGATACGAATAGAGATGCAGAAGGTCTGAAGTTAGAGGTTCAGGAGATATGAGGAAGATGCCAATAGAATAAAGATGCGGAAGGTCTAAAGTTAGAGGTTCAGGAGAGTCAATGAATTAAATCAAAACTCTATTTATTTACCGAGTGAAAGAATAGAGATGCAGAAGGTCTGAAGTTAGAGGTTCAGGAGCAAAGACTCAACAAATGAAAGAATGAGAGAATTGACTCGCTAGTAATGTAATGCTTTTTGAGAGGAGAGAGCGAGACCGATAGGGAGAGGAGCGAAGCCGCTTTGTTACGTGTGAGTCTTTCTTTCATTTTCTCGACTGTAAAGGATAGGACAGAAGATGAAAACACCTATTTACCGCCGAGTTCAAGAAGCGAGACGAAAGAAAAGGAAAGATCAGAGAAAGAATAAAAGAAAGACCTATTTACCGAGTGTTTGAATAAATAGGGAATATCGTCACAGGTTCAGGAGGTAAGATCAGAGAAAGAATCAGAATAAAACACCCATTTGTGAAAGAAGTCAGAACGTAGATGAAAGCTATCTTGTGATCATAATTGCTTTACAGTTCCAGAAGGTGAAGAAAAGAACAGAAAAGAGACCGTAAGTCAAGGCTAGGGAAGAGCGAAGACGAAGACAGAGTGAAATCAGGTTCATGAGTGAAAGAAAGGAGAGGAGAAGAGAAAGATCAGTTCAAGAATAAATAGGTTCAGGTCACAGAGAAGCAGACTGATAGTTGGTTCAGGAGAAAGAAGAAGAAAATGACCCTAAAAATAGGGGAAGGATAGCTTTTTTTTATTGATGGTCTTTAAAGGAAAAAGGGTGAAATCAGTCCCATTTAGCCTATTTGGAACTCTTTTACAGGGAAATCAAGGGATTTCGACCTCCCTAAAAAATAGCCCAAAAAATAAAGGAAGGATAGCATTTTATCCAAAAAAAATAGACAGATGATAGAATTTGCAAATAAATGGTACTAAAGAGGGAAAGAAGGGAATAAAACAAAGAAAGCTAGAAAGGCTAAGCTAAGACAGAGAGGAGGTAACCAACCTGGGAGTTCCAGAAGGATTGAAGGAGAGAAGCTAGAAAGGCTAAGACAGAGAGGAGCAAATCTTTCTTTCATTTTCAATTCCTTTACAGTGTTTGAATAACTCACCATAATGGAACAAGGAGTTAAGTCGAATGAATCTTGTCTTGCTTGAGTCTCCCTTCAGTCTTGAACAAGGGCCGAAAGAACTCTTTGACCTAAAAAAATATCCCTAAAAATAGACAGAAGATAGAATTTTATCCAAAAAAATAGACAGAAGATAGACTTTTTTGATTAATGGTCTTTACAGGAAAAAAAGTGAAATCAGGGAAAATGGCCCTAAATGCAGGGAAAATGGCCAAAAATGGCCCAAAATCCTGGGAAATTAGGGATTTTATCCCAAAAAATAGACAGATAGAAAAAATTAATTAATGGTCTTTACAGAATCAGGAGTGAACGAAGTAGGAGTCTTTGTCTTTCTTTCGTCTCCCTTTATTCTTGAACTGTTCCGTCTCATTCTGCTTTCGTTTCATCTTGTCTTGAGTTGAGTCTTGAAAAGCAGCTAATGAATTTCTTCTTTCAACCACTGTAAACTCCTTCAATCCTTTGACCTCTGGAAATCTGGCAAGGGAATAGAGTCTTTGGTTCAAGAAAGAAAAACGAACAAAAGCTACTTTGACCGAGTGAAAGAATAACTCACAATCACGGAAGGTAATAAATAGATAGAGGTTCCGGGAGCAAAAAGAACAGACCTTGTTCAAAAGGGAGCAAAGCTTCGAGTCTTTACTTTCAGTTGAAGGAGAAAGATCAGAGAAGAAAGAGACCAATAGCTGAATCACTTGAATCAGTTGAAGGAGCGAAGCCGAGGTTCAGTCGAATTAATCTTTCGGCTTTCCTTCCTTAATGAAAGAGTGAAATCAGGGAATAAAACAAAGCTAAAGCTATAACTAAGACAGAGAGGAGCGAAGCAACGAAACCAAGAGGGAGAGGAGCAAAGCAACGAGACAGATAAATATGGAAGAGGTTCATATGCTTTACCTCGTTCAAGAAGCTCGAGACAAATACATGATGACTGACTCTCTTATTCTTTTCTTTCCTGTAAAGGTTGTTTTCGGTTTCTTCTTCTTTTCTTCCTTTCTTTCGTTCTTTGAAACATCCCCATCCCATTCCAGTGGCAAATCAAGTCAAGGGACCATAGGCGAACGGGGAAGAGACTTTTCGAACCCGCAAAATCACAGCAACAGTAAGACTGAACGAAGTGAGTTACCAATTTCTATAGAGCTGGGGCATAAACCAAAGAGGAGTCAGGGTATCAGCAGCTCATTCAAGCTGGCATTTTGTACTCTCCATCCCTAATTGTATACAAGAGATCATCTCAACCTTATAAAGTATACATATTCACCGATAGGCAAGGATCCGAAAGGAGTTAGGCTCAGATGGTATCACCTTTTACCGAACGGAGGTCTCGTAGCCTAGCGAAACGACTAAGTCTTAATTAGGGGGGATGAGCTTTACATCAAGACCCTAACTTAGATCAATTTCCATACCTAAATCTACTTCCCAAGAGGGATAACAACCCGAATCTAATAGGTTTGACAAACAACCAAATGGTTTTGAGGAGAAGCAGATGGAAAAAACAAGGAAAAAGCCAAGAGTTTCTAATGAAACGGAAACCTAAAGTCAAGCAAGATAGGGTGTCTGTAATTATTGAAGAGATTAAGCATGGGGAGAGTTGCATAGGATACTACCACTTAAAGCAGTACTCAGACTGTTATCTTATCCCTGTAAAATGTTCCATCCAGACTGTTATCGTAGGATTACCTTTCAGCATCTGGCTTTTTTGGTTGGAGGAGGCTTCGCCCAGAAGAATGGTATCGTCCGCAGGTTCAACGCTCGTATTTCTGGAGCGAGAATCATTCCTTTCTCCCTCGCTTGCAGGCTTTTTTGATAGAGAGAGAGTAAGGGGGCGGAGCTTACTTAGCCTTCTCCCCTCTTCCTATTTGAATCTTATTACAATCTTCAGAAGGAAGAGTTTATTGATTCCAATCCTATATCAATCATTTGTTGATAGATAGGGCCGATAGCCACCTGACGAGAGAGGTCCTTAAGGATATTGTGGAGAGAGCGGAGGCTCTCGTTTTTTCTTCTCGCTAACGATCTTCTTTTCTTCCTCATTCCGGCATGATCAAAGAAGCTATGACTGACCTGGTCCCCTTTTCAGACAAGACCCTCTTTCTTTTTCTTTCTTTGTTTTTCCGCTTTTTAATTGGGAATCAACCCCCTCTGCTCCTCTTTTTTTTCTAGCTCACTGCTTTACTTTATTGCACGCATTTGGTGCGCTATCGAATAAGATTCCTATCTATATATAAGTTGTCAAAGGAGATCCCCATCTCAAGGAGGTCCTCCACTTTGGTTGGCTAGTCGATCTTCCTCTCTCCGAATTGCAATTTGTTTGGATCATCCTCGTTGTACTTACTCTTTCGAAGGATCACCTGCTTGCTTCCTCTCGCTATCGGTCTCTTTTCTTTTCTTTCCCTTTCATCTCTCTGCGTAACTCTTAGGGATTTGAGTGAAGCAGCGGGCAATACGACAGAGCAAAAGCTAGCGACTTTCTTTTTCATATTTCTTGAAAGCTTGAAGCTACGGCATCCCACCAATCCTATCCGAAAGGGTGAGTTTATGCTATGGTGGTGCCTGACCCTGATTGCTCAATTGTTAACCGAGCTAAACCATTCCCCCCACCCTTCTTTCTTTTTAAATCAAATAATCTTTCTTTCTTTATCGGTGAAATTACTTTCTTTCGAGTGATTTGATTCATCAATAGGGGACCATCCCATACCATAAGAAGTTGCTTCTTGGAATGCCGTCGTTCAAGCACAGGCTGACCACTGATTCAATCAATCTTCACCAGATCTTGCTACTAGAAAACCGAAGGAGCACACAAAGCGAAGGGACTCACCAAGCTAGAACGTAGTTGTTTGTGTAAACGGAATCGAGTTTCAAATCATAAGATGACGAAGTGAACCAACGAATCAAGCTTAACACATCTTTGATCCACTCTATGAACTGAAAGCGAGATCTTGCAAAACAACCACAGCAACGCCCGGATCCGCAAGAATGGGTAGGTTAGGGGCGCTATTCTCTGAGTTCTGCTCTCAGTGTGTATGCTTACGTAGGAGTTGCTATTCGGACGTAGATCGGGTTCTTGGTTCTTCCCTCGAACTACCTTTTGTAACGTAAAGCTAGTCTAAAGTCGATTCAGTATCAGGGCTACGAGTGGGTGTAGCGGATTTGATCATCCTCTGCTACGCGAACCTGCTCAATCAGCAACGACCGAGAATCAGTCAGACTAGTCAAAAGAGCAGTACGCACCCATATGAGAATACCTTCCAGCAAAAAAGCCCAACTAATTAGAACAATAGACTGAGAGAATACCATACCAATAGACTAAACGAAGACCCCCAATAGAACACACCATAATAATAGAAAGAAAGACCGCCCTCCTATCATTCACCAGGTTGCTTTAGCTTTAGCGCTCAGAGGAATGACAGAAAGAGATCATTGAATGAATTTGATCAGATTGCTCTGTCTGATACCGTCTCGACATATATATAAGAATGATGAATTGAATCTCTTTAGTTAGAAAGATCTTTTGTCTCGAGCTTCGCTTTCTTTCTCATGTGCTATGAAATTACG